ATGGGTGTGCATGTGTGGTGTGCACGCATGCGAGGATGCGCGTGTGGTGTGTGCACGTGAGACTGTGTGGTGCCTGTGTGTGCATATGTGTGGTGTGTGCATGCACGAGAGGGTGTGTGTATGTGCACATGTGAGACTGGCATCTGTGTGGGTGTGCGCGTGTGGTGTGTGTGTGCATGAGCGGGTGTGTGTGGTGTGTGCACATCTGAGACTGGTGCCTGTGTGGGTGTGCATATGTGTGGTGTGTGTGTGCATGAGAGGGTGTGTGTGGTGTGTGCACATGTGAGACTGTGGTGCCTGTGTGTGCATATCTGCAGTGTGTGTGTGCACAAGAGGGTGTGCGTGTGGTGTGTGCATGTGTGACTGTGGTGCTTGTGTGGTGTGCGTGAGGATGTGCCTGTGGTGCGTGAGACTTTGGTATGTGTGTGTGCGCGTATGTGTGGTGTGTGTGTACAAGAGGGTGCCCATGTGGGGTGTGAGTGTGATGAGGAAGAGTGACTGGAAGCAGCAGGCAGCCAGCTCTCAGGTGGATCCAACTCAGTCGCTCACACACACTTGGTTTTTGTTACTCTGTTAGAGCTGCTTCAGGTCCACACGTTTCACAAAGCATCAGGACATAACTAATGAGCTAAACTCTGGGGGAAAACCTTTTCCACACAACACCCCCTCCTGCTCCACGAATGTCCTCCACGAATCCTGGAGTGGGATAAATGAGATGGTGGCATTTTTAACCCTGAAATGCCCCATGACTAAAGTAGAAAATTGGCCCAAGCAAAAACCTGCCTGGGGCACGGTCTCCGCCCGGAGAGATGGCCCTTCCCCAACCTCCCGGGGGCACGGGCCTGGGCCACAGATCCCCGTGGCCGTCTGGTGCAGGGTCTTTGATGGAAGTTGGCTCGAGGCCCGACTCGGTGCTGCTCCCACACGACTCCATGGCCCGTCTACACTGCAACATGCGACACTCGTAGGGAACTTTTCACTGTCCACGGTCACTGGCGGTTGCAGAAAACTGAACATGGAAACCCTTAAATAAAATAGTTGCTGGGAGCAGCACCGGCCTCCAGACGTGCGAGCTGAAGACAGAGGGGTCGCTCTGATAGGGAGCGGGGACACCGAGGCCCCTCTGCGCTTTCTGTCCTGCACACCCTATAACTCAGCCACTTCTGCTGCAGCAGCGTCCCCGCAGGCCACTGCCGTCACAGCTGGCGGCCCCGCCTGTGTGTGCCAGATTGCCCGGCACACTGTATATCAACCTTCATCAAAGGCCGCCGGGCAGAGGAGCGGGGCCCAGGCCAACTCTTGTGCATTAAAGAGACTTTTAAAGAGACCTTGATAAAATGAGTGCTTCCTGCTTTCTGATGTGTTTAAGTAAAAGAACATTTTCTTGTTTGAAGACCAAACGTGCATCAGGAAGCAAGAACAGGCCGTGGCTCAAAGCGAAGTTCCCTATTGTTATTTAAAATAACTAGCCAGAGAACCATAAGGCTTTGGGATGGTAGAATATATACGTCAGTTGCCTTTTAACTGGAGCAAAAAGGGGGAAAAGACTGTTTAATGTGAAGAAAGCATCTGTAAAGTGCTTTGGACGTTTTAAACAGCAGCCTGGTATTTTATCCAGCCTGTCGCTGGCCAGCTTGCCGGCTGCAGGGATGCCACCTGGTTCTTTGACCTACTTGTGATTTATGTTAACGTGAACACCATCCCTGACCAGCAAAGACAGCCAGGAGAAGGAAGGGCATGTCCTGGTACCTGCAGCCACTGCCCATGTCCCCTCTCGGCACCCCTCTGGCTGGCACTCTGATGGTCTAGGCTGCAGGTCCCATGGGGTTCCCCTTGGCAATGCAAGGTCCTGATCCTCCCCCTCAAGGCCCTGCCCTTGGCCATCGCCTGCTGTCGCTCCCCTGGCTAAGTCTTGTGCACTTGGGGTTTGGCACCCAGGGGGTCTCACATACGCCAGGTCTGCTGTGCCCGGGGTCACACACCCAGGGGTCTCGCTCTGTAGTGGGTCATGGCACCGTTCCCATCCTCCCAGGCCAGGCCGTGGTCCTGCAGTCTTTAAGGCAGCACTGTCAGCTGTCGGTGGAGTGGTGCAAGGGGACATATGTGCCCACCCCTCAGAAGATCCAGGGGTTCCAGTGGGGCCCAACAGACCACCTCCGGCCCGGCCCCTCTGCCTCGGGCTCTTGGTTTGGCCAGTCCAGCCTCCCCCACGCCCTCTGTGAGAGCCCAACTGTCCTCCCGTGAGGTGCCTGCACCTCTGGGCTCTCAGTGACCCCCAAGGTCACCCTGCCCTTGGCGTCCTCTACTTCCTCAAGCCACCGAACCTCCCTCCTGTCTGGGAGACTGCTGGCCGGTGCTCACTTCCCTGACCGCCAGCTTCCTGGCTGCCCAAGTCTGGGTCCAGGCCCCGTGGCAGCCTTTGGGTGAGCCAAGGCTCAGCGCTGCCAGTCCTGGCCCTCCCTCAGCGGCTTCGCATGGTCACCGGGGCAAGGCACTGAGCCCCGCCAACCATCTGCAGGCCTCACCCACGGCCCTTAGATCAGGAGTCACTGCAGAGAGACGGCGCCTTGCAGGTTCTAAGGAAGCTGCCCCTCTCTCTCGGATGGACCCTCTAAGGCAAGGGCTGGAGGAACACACAGCTGACGTGCACCGCCCTGGCTTCCCCAGTCCGGAAAGGCCCCCTTGCTGGGCCAGGCAGTTTCTGTCACCTGGAGATATTTCTGGTGTGCTTGGCCTTTAGGCCTGTGTCTGAATGAGACCTTTCCTGGAAAATAAAGCAGGTTTGTCTCAGAGCGAATCTTTCAATATTTAGGATTACAAAACTGGCCTTTCTGGGAAAGCCATGGCAGCAGGCCTGCTGGGGGCGGGGGGCGGAGGATGCTCTGTGCTGCTCCCGCTTCCGGCACAGGCTCCTGAGGGGGTGGGGAGGGGCCCGGAGGATGTCCTCTGCTGCTCCCACTTCTGATGCAGGGGGAGACCCCTGACTGAGGAGGCCCTGGCTGGAGGTAGGACTTGCAGCCCCAGGTCCCCTCTCCACTGTCTCTGATGCTGCCCCTCACACTGGCCTCGACAGAAAGGGAGGGAGGAAGGTTCTGGTGCTGCGGCGGCCTGGGGCCCTAGGAAGGTGGGGGTCTTGACTGCTCACAATAAGACCCTGCTCTCACAAGCAGACCCAGGTCAGGAATGCGCGGCTTCCTCTGCTAAAGCGGCCCCCAGTTAGCAGCAAGCCACCAATCATTTGGAAAGCAACCTGCTTCCCAGGCACAGAGGGCAGAGGTTGTGGAGGTGGGAACTGACTGTGACCACTGGGGTTCCTCTCATAATGGGGTTTGCACTGGGGAAGAAGACCCCTTTTTGTTCTAACACAACGAGAATGCCAGCACCCATGCCCACGTGCATGAGGCATCCTCTGCAAGGTGCCCTGTGTGCTGGCCACCTCAAGGCCCAGCACACGCTGAGGCCACCCACAGATAGTGGGCCAGAGAGCAGACCCTGCCTCTGCATTTTCCAGAACCAGGCGAACGATGCCTGCACACCAGACCTCACGAGAGCTGTGCTTAACTACAGGGGTCCGTGGCCTCCTGTGCGGCCTGACATTTCCCCCCCTGCTTGTGACCTCGAGTGCCTCTGGGTGCTGCCCCGAGCTGCACGGCACCCGGATCGTCCTGGAGTGAGCAGGGCTGGCTTTCCATTGGGGGAGGCTTGTGCAGAGTGTCCTGGGACGGCTGAGTCCCTGTCGTCCCTCTGCCCCCCCGCATAATGCCAGGCCAGAGCACCTGTCAGTAGGAGCCATCAGACACCAGAGCCCAGGGTGCAGGGCACCTGTGACTCTGTGACCGCCCATCTGATGAACAGAGGGCCTGGGACCAGCACCTCGGTCTGGGGCACCCACGGGCAGGCAAAAGCCAGCACTGACCCGAGGGCGTCTGAGCGGCTGCTGCCCCACTGGTTCCCCAAACAGAAGGGGCAGGGGAGATTTTTTATAAAGACAGGTGAGGTCGGATGGCAGAGTGCTGCCCTTTCCTTGAGCTGAAAATGAGGATGCTGCTTCCCGAGAAGCCCCCCAGAGTGGGGGCTGAGCATCCGAAGGGGGTGAAAACCACTGAGCACCAGGACACCCCCACTAAGTGCCCTGTCACCCTGACTCTTCTGAGACTGTCCTCAGGACTGCCAGGCTGGGGACAGCAGTCCCAGAGGGCACGGGAGGCAGACTCCCACCAGGCCCCCCAGCAAGGCCTCTGCATCTGGCGTGCTGGAGCCTCAGCACTGCCCTGCTCTCCACTTCCTGTGGTCAAGTGATGCGGACACATGGCCCTCGAGTCCCCCACACTTCGGGTGGCTGTTCTCAGGACCTGCCCTGGAGCAGGGAGGCCCGGGCCCCAACATCACGCTGGAATGGAACGCTGCAGGTGGTGCTCTCACCCGGAGCCCCTGGAACGTTCTTTTTCTCTGCCCAGGCCTCGGAGGCCCGGCTGTACAGACCACAGCGTCTCTGACCCCCTCCGGCGGTGTTGGTAGGGACACAGCAGGGAGCCATGTTCCTGGGGGCTCAGAGCAGCAGACAGGCCTGCTGGGCAGAAGAGCCCCAGCCCGCCTCGGGGCCACTGACCGAAACCCACATGAGGATTCCCTAGAGAAGCTGACTGTCCACAGAGGACATGAAGAGAGAAACAGAAAACCTCTGGTCACAACGTGCTCCATGTAACGGACAGAGGGACCCTGAACCGGAAGGGTGCAGCTGCACTGCAGAGGACCCTGAGCCATCTTCTCACGACAAAAGGGCTCCTTCCAGTCCTGCCCCACCCACCTCTTCCAGCCATCATCACAGTCCTGCCACATGTAGAGCTATGCGGGGGTGGGGGGCAGGTGCAAGGCAGGGCAGTGGCATCCACGTGGTCAGAGACCCACTGGCTTTCACTCTGGGGCTCTCGGGCAGCCAGGCCACAACCCCAAGCCTGTCAGTGTGGAGTGACCCGTGGAGGTCTCTGGGGTCTTCGTACCTCATTTCCCAGCAAGGCAGAAACGCATGCTTCGGAGGCGTCGCAAATGGCGGTCAGGTCGTGGCCTCCCTCGAGGGCCAGGACAATCCGGCCGCCAGCCAGGCCCATCAGCTGCTTCGTCAGGTACCCAAAGCCTGCAACGGGAAACGGGAGACTGCGGTGTGAACGGGGAAGGGCCGCGGCCAGTGCAGCCCAGAAACGCATCTCACGGCATTGTAAGAAGACTGGGGGCTGGGGTGGCGAGACACACGGCCGGGCCGGGTTTGGTTTAATAAATTTGCTGAGGAGTTTCGGCTTTGGATTTCCTCTTTGATCTGTTTGAGAATAGGAATTATGGCTTCAATGCTTTGATTTTTAATCAGCAAATCATCTGCTCTAGGGGATGAGGGCAGCCAGCTCCACTCAGAGGCTGCAGGCCACCTGCCCTTTGGCCCCCTCAGAGGGGCTATGGCCATGCTCTTGTGGCCACGGCCCAGTGGGCTCTGGTTATCTGACATGCTCTGAACATGTATGTGTACACATGTGCACAGGCTGCATATCCTCCTGGAGCGTTCTCCCACGTCCAGGTCTGAGCGTCTGGCTTTGATCAGGAGCCACAGTCCCGCCACTGCACCCACATCACTCACTCCGGGAGGGAATGCCTGCTAGATGAGGGTAATCACCACCCTCAGCCAGGCCAGGCTGGTGCTGATTAGAGAGCCGGGAACCACGCGCCGCTGATTAGTGGCCCCGACCTGGGCTGGCGAGGCTGTAACTTCCCAAAGCCTCGGTTCATCCCGTCTGATAGGAACAGTGACGGGGCTTCGAGGCAGCTGTGAGGACTGAGGAGGAAGCTGAGGATGTGGTGGCCGCGGTGCTCCGGGCCGGGTGCTGTGGGGTGTTGGGCACAGTGGAAGCTCTTTGCCCTCCGTCTGGTCACTTTGCTGGCCACTAGGCCACACAGCCTGGGGACAGGTGGATTGTGCAAGGCCCCACAGAAGCCTGGCCACCCAGGGCCGCCTCAGGTCTCCTGGGTGAGCCACACCCTCCCCATGCAAGGACCTGAGAGATGGGCCCCTCCTTGGCCGCCTGTGCCAACAGGAGTGGGGAGGGCCGCACACGATGGACGCCGGGGCCTTGAGGGCGTCACCAGGGCTAGGACCAAGGCCCCAGGAAGCCTGGGCCTCAGGAGGTTCTCCAGGTTCCTCGGGGACTCCGGGGTCGGGGAGGCGGCCAGGCCTTTGTATGTGCCGAGTGCTGATGCCAAGAGGTTTTCATCTCCTTGTGAGTTACTGAGGCACAGCGGGAGCACTGCTGAGGCACAGCGGGAGCACTGCTGAGGCACAGTGGGAGCACTGCTGAGGCACAGTGGGAGCACTGCTGAGGCACAGTGGGAGCACTGCTGGGCAGTCCCTCCTCCCACCCTGACAGCACGCCCCCTAACGCTGATCCCGAGAGGACCCCCACCTCCTGGGCTTCCTCATCCAACTCTGAACTTGGCTGTGCTCCCAGCAACTTCCCTTTACGTTTCCAAGGAGCGCTGCCTGCCAGAGAAGCAGCACAGGGCGCGTCTCAGCTCTCGGTGGGACCAGGACCTGCCCCTGGAGGTGGCCTGCAGGTTCCTGGGCACCCGCATCCCAGAGAGGGAGCCTTGTGTGCCCTAGGCCCCTCCTGGGCAAAGAATGCCTGAGGTGCCTGGGTCTGAGCTCCCGCTGCCCACTCTGAGTTCTTTGGGGCCTACCAAATGGACTGGTTCCCAGTATGGTCAGGACCTTGGTCATTAGTAAAAAGGTGCCTTTCCTGATCTTGTTATTGAGAAGGAGACCTGACACGTGGAACACAGCAGATCACGGACATGAGCAGAGCCGGCTCCTCGGTCATGCGCAGAACCACTTACATCTGGCGGAGAGGTTGTAGCCCCCGAGAGGTGTGGGGTGGCCCTCCACAGCGTCGAAGCCCGATGACACCAACACCACGTCCGGGGCAAACTCGCTGGCGATCGGCATGACCACCGTTCTGCAAAGGGCAGGAGAAGGCGTCACTGGGTCAGCTCAGAGAAGGACGGGACAGTCACGAAACCCCAAGGTTCCCTCTGGCACTGATCACGCCTGCCCCGCACCCCCTCGGCCATTGGCGACCTGAGGGCTCCACACAGCAGGCTGGAATCTGGCGACCCACACGCTTAATCAGAAGGGAATCAACCTGCGTGTGATCCAGGCTCATTTCACACACATCTTCACAATGCAAGCCAACAAGCCCCACTATACTTGCTTAGTGAGAGTACTGCTGTTTCCTGATATGCTGTTTTCTGCATATTTCTGTAACCCCCATGGCACAAGCTGCATTAACCTGGAGGAGTGAAGCCAGCTCCCTGTCCCACCAACACCCCTCCCTGGCCCTGCCTCGTCCTCCCTGCCCAGTCCTCCCAGGCCAGGTCCTCCCTGCCCATCCTCTCTTCTGAGACGGGGTTAGCTCCACTCGCCCCATCAGGCTGCCCTTGCTGCTACAATGCACTTTCCACAGCTCTCACTGAAGACACGTGCAGTCACCCACTGCCCCCAGTGCTGGGACTGTGTGTGGCCGAAAGGGCCGAGAGCCCTTGCCAGCCCTGCTGGGGGAGCCCACGTGCTCCTTAGTCACCCTAGAACACCAACACACACAGGTGTAACAGGAATTACAATGCAATTAAGACGCTTAAGAATCTTTAAAGGGAAAACTGATGACAAATGTAAGAGAACTCACTGGAAAAGACAGAACCACTGAGAAATTCTTTAAGTTATATTAGGAAAATAAGGAAAATATTCTATTTGGAAAGGGGAAAAAGCACTCCTTAACACAAAAGAACTTATCAATCCATAGTCTACTGATCTTATCAGCATTTGCTACGAATCCATGTGTGTGCTATGAACGCATGTGTGTGCTATGAATCCATGTGTGTGCTATGAGTGCATGTGTGCCATGAATGTATGCATATGGCATGAATGCATGCATGTGGCATGAATGCATGCGTGTGCTATGAGTGCATTTTTGTGCTATGAATCCATGCGTGTGCTATGAATCCATGCATGTGCCATGAGTGCATGTGTGTGCTATGAATCCATGTGTGTGCTATGAATGCATGTGTGTGCTATGAATGCATGCATGTGCCATGAATCCATGCATGTGCTATGAATACATGTGTGTGCTATGAGTGCACGTGTGTGCTATGAGTGCATGTGTGTGCTATGGATCCATGTGTGTGCTATGAATGCATGTGTGTGCTATCAGTGAGTGGCGAAGTTCAGCAGTTTCACGTCTCATTTGGGCTGCTGCCTTCGATTCTGAGTTAATAATCACCGCTGACTTTCAGAGTCTCCTGCACTCCCTCTGTGGGCGAGGGGAGCAGAAATATGGCCTCCCTTTCCTGGGGGACAGCAAGGACCCCACGAGAAAGGTGGTCTGGTGTCTTCCTGCAATGGTCCAGGTGCAAGGGGCCTGTGCAGGTGAGGACAGTGGAACAGAAGTGGAGCCTTTAAAAAGGGACTTCAAAAAGTTTGTGGAAAAACTGAATTAAAAGACAAAAAATATAAACTTTATTTCTCAACTTAAGCTCCATCAAGTCCAAGACACTTTTGTAATGGTGACAGCAGCCATTTAGTTCCTCCCGAAAGGACTGAGGGTCCTGGGAATCTGGGAATTTAACCATGTCAATGCAGTCTTTTTTTTTGTTTGTTTGTTTACATTAAATGAAGAAAAATAAGTGCCCTTTACAGATTTTTCTAAGATTAGGAAACAAGAAGAAGCCAGAAGGAGCCAATTCAGGACTGGAAGGTGGATGCCTAATAGTTTTTCTTCAAAGCTCTTGCAAAGGTTTCCTAGTTTAATGAGGAGTGAGCAGAAGTACTATTGTGGAGAAGGACTCTTGGTGGCAGGGGAGGGCGGGGTGCTGGGCATGGTGGCTCACGCCGGTAATCCCAGCACTTTGGGAGGCTGAGATGGGTGGATCACCGGAGGTCAGGAGTTTGAGACCAGTTTGGCCAACATGGTGAAACCCCATCTCTACTAAAAATACAAAAATTAGCCGGGTGTGGTGGTGTGTGCCTATAATCCCAGCTACTCAGGAGGCTGAGGTGAGAGAATCGCTTGAACCCCGGAGGCAGAGGTTGCAGTGAGTTGAGATCATGCCATTGTACTCCAGCCTGGGTGATAAGAGCGAAACTCCACCTCAGGAAAAAAAAAAAAAAAAAAAAAAGGCCTGTCAGGGGACGCTCTCCCAGGGATTTTCTGCGAAAGTGCTGAGGAACTTTCTCTAAACACTCTCACGATAAGTAGACGTTCTCATTCTTTGGTCCTCCAGAACAGGCACAATGCCTTGGGCATTCCCCAAACCTGCTGTAGTGACCTTTACTCCTGCTTGACCAGCCTGCTTCTACTGTGACTAGGCCACCTCTTGGCTCTCGGTAGCCAGTACTGCGGTTGTGCCTTGTCTTCAGGATGGTCCTGGAAAAGCCGTGTTCCATCTCCTGTTGTGACTCTCAGGACTCTGAGTCCACCTGATGAACATTTCCACCGAAAGCTCTGCTCCTGTCGGCAGCTGATCTGGACGCGATGGTTTTGGCGCCCACTGAGTGGAAAGGCTGCTCAACTTCAATTTTCCAGGCGGAGCTGCGTAAGCTGAGCTGGTTGAGATGCCCATGGTGTCAACTGTTGCTCCTGCTGTTAACTGTGGGTACTCTACAATTACTGCACAAACAGGATGAATTTTTTCCCCACTAATTGATGTGGATGTTCTGTAGCTGTGGGCTTCGTCTTCCACACCGTTGCATTCCTTCTTAAAATGAGTCGTCCATTTGTAAACCGCTGATTTCTTTGGGGCATTGTCCCCATAAACTTTTCATAAAGTATCAATGATTTCACCATTCTTCCACCCAAGCTTCACTGTAAACCTGCTGTTTGTTCTGGCTTCAATTTTAGCAGAATTCAAGTTGCTCTTTTCATGAGAAGGGCTCTTTTCAAACTGATGTTTTATCCTTAGTGCCTCAAACTAGATCCTGTCCAGATATAACAAGTTAGTGCGAATTTATTTTGGTGCAAAAACATTTTGAAACCTATGCACAGTTTTTTTCAAAACACGCATTTTCTATGAATTTTTACAAGTCTCCTGGTATTTTCACCACGAAGCCTAGTTTGCACAATTCCCACGTGTGCCCTGAGCTCTGGGGGACCCCTCACCATGCCCTTGTGGGAGAAGGTCCATGTTTTTAGGGGTTCACCAACACCTACTTTCTGGAGCTGCTCAGCCCAGCCTGTCCTGCACCGAAGCACACTTCTGTGTCCCTACGGCCTCCCCAGCACACGTGTGTGGGCCAAGTGCATCACCCGATGGGCGCCTCCCTTTGTATGGATTTTCAGAGGCCCCTCCCTGGGGGCAGCCAAAAATGCACTCACTGGGCCCAGGGTCCCTTCCCACCACCAAGGACCTTCCAGAAACATCACGGCAGAGGGCAGCAGGGCTGGCCCTAAAACTTTTTCATTCAGCTTTTATTACAAAATGAAATCCCCCACTAATGTCAGTGAAAGTATCAACTTTGACCGGAAGAAACAAAAATGCTGAAAATTCAATGTGACCCCTTTTCAAGGATGACCGCAGAGCAGAATGTTGTTGAAAAGTTCCTCTGATTTCTGATGGTGGAGGTGACACAACCCCCAAGGGCTTAAACACCAGGTGAAGATCCCGCAGGTTACTCTCCAGAGGGCCAGGGGTCATGATTGCCGTCAGGGACACTAAGGCAGCGGGAGGGCCCATCTCAATGTCGGGGGCACGAGGTGCCTGATCCTGGTGCCCCACGTCCCACGACCGAGCTCAGACAGGAGAAGAGTGATGCGCGGGACTGTGTGGCTTCGGCCTGCTCAAGTCAGTGCTGACAAACTCTGCCCTCCAAACACGCATCAAATCCACACCTAGGCACTTTGCCCACCAAGAAACTCACTCCTGGAACTCAGATGGGAGTCACAGGAGACCCTGGGTGGCTTCTGAGCAGTCTACTTCTGTTCTTTCTTCTGAAGAGACCCAGTCCACACAATTTCCCCTAGAACTGCCTCTGCAGCAGCTGTAGAAAGTGCTTTCCGAGGACACAGGAACTGTGCCCCGAGGGCCATCGTTAGGGGCCGAAGAAACAATGTGTGAATCTAGACTGGGGGCAGCAAGCTTCCTGCCATGGGTCAGACAGGAGGCACCTGACCTCAGTCGGTGGGCCATACGGTCTCCGCCGGGACCACGTGACGCGGCCCTTGTGGTGTCCAAGACACAACAGACAGTGCGTCGGTGTGCGAGCGTCGCTGTGTCCTGATAACATCGTACCAAGAGCACAGGCGGCAGGACTAGGCCCACCAGCTGGAGTTGCCTGAACCTCTGCTCTGGTCCTGTCCACACAACTTCCGTAACATTCTTCCATGCGCGATTCCATTCCCAGACTGAGAGGTTTCTTCTCACCTACCCAGACCTCACCACAAAGCACGGCGATTTCGCAAACATGGTGTACGACACAGGAAACACGGCGCTGGCCTCAGAGTGGGCGTGGAGTTGGTGTCTGGCACTCCCGCCGCAGGGCTGGGAGGGGAGAAATCAGTCTAGTCAGTGGTGGGATGGAGAGAATGCCTTGGAATCCAGGAGTCCTGTGACTCTTGCCAGACCCAGGGCCCTGCCCGGGACGCTGGAAGGCACTGGCCCCACAGTCCTTTCTGACCGACATTCCGAGGCTTCCTCCACGGCTCTGATCAACCTGACCAACGGGCAGCAGGACTCAGGGGGGCCGCCCTCTGCTTTCAACTGTCCACATCATCCCAAGGAGACTGGCTTCTAATTATTTTAATAAAGTTCTTGTCATAAAACCTTTTTCTTTGGACAGAAAAACACATTTCCAGCCATGCTTTTGGTGTGGATTTTAAAGCCAAGACGTTTTTCAATGAAAACCACGGACGTTTTGTGCAGGTGCCACGTCCTTCGCGAAGCACTCTGGCTGCTGCTTTGCAGCAAG